AAAAAAACACAAAGACATTTATACAGACATAGATGCAAATATACATATACCTATACATCCTACACGGCTTATATATTTCACAGCTACCATACCATTGGAATCCGTCCTCTTTAACCTTAACCCAGCTTGGCGGTGTGATGCAATGTAGCTTGGGTCCGGGTTGGTGGGTTCAGGTCGAGACTCGATATTTCTGTTCAAGTTTAGTTTCTGAAGTGGCTGAATGGAAATGAATTAGCATATTGTAATCATTACTATGTAGTAAGAACCCAACATGTTCAGACGGGCTAAGACGAAGATCCCAGACCCTTGGACTTGAGCGCTCACTCTCACCCGTCTAGGGTTTATGGTATTTAGGGCCTCGAGGTCGTCTACGGTTTATGGTATTAAGGGCTTCGGGTTTCTGAAGGGTTTCATTCCGGGGTTGAATTTAACAGACTACAGTTGGATTGGATGCTTTAACTTTGGGTCTAAGGGGCTGTACTATGCAGGTTGTATGTAGGAGGACAGAACCCAACATCTCAAATCCCTCAACCTTGCTTCACTGGGAATCGTTCACAGCTGATCCTCCACCCTACAGTTGTCGGTACAAGGTTGGGGTACCCTCTGAGCCAAGAAGAGCACAGTTCGTTCTGAGACCTCGGAACCTATCTTAAAGCCCAACCCAAACTTAAACTCGGAAGCCTCCCACTGTAGGAACTCTACTTCAATGCCAAAAAAATCCACACCCAAGGCAAGCCACTGAAGACTGATCCATCGAGGAGGACACAGATGCATCCTGATCCAGCTCAAAGTGTCTAGAAGTCCTAGGGCTAGTATATCTCAGAGTTAAAGCTTGCTCTAGGCTGAAAAGGGCTCTTGGGTTCAACCTTCGGGACCGATTGTCTCTTCGGTGTTGCTGCTAAGGTTCTTCATCTTCCGAGCATTCACTTTCTTCAGAGGATCGTATATCAATCTGGGATTTCCCGGCAAACATCTTCTCGGCATCCTGACAGGAATGTCGCATGAAGAACAGAGCATGTTGACCATAGAGCCCAAAACAAGAGCAACAACAAGAGTAGTAAGAGTAGTAGTAGTAGTAGTAGTAGTAGTTGTAGTTGTAGTTGTAGTTGTAGTTGTTGTTGTTGTTGTGCAACAAGACCAACAACAACAGCAGCAGCACCACCACCACCACCACCAACAACAACAACAACAACAGTTCATGAGCAGGGTCCTGCATCAAGCCTGCCAGAGAGTCGAGATCGTTCATCTTGGCATCGGCCTTCTTGCGCCCACCTTTTCTCGAGCTTGGTTTTTTCTTCTTGCTGTCCGTCTTCTTCTTCTTATCTTTCGTGCTTTTCTTTCGGCCAGTATCCTTCTTCTTGGACGCTTTTGCCTTTGCCCGCGTCTTCTTCTTCTGTCCCAGGAGAACATCATGTGTGGAGAGGGGAAGACGAGAGAGAGAGAGAGAGAGAGAGAGAGAGAGAGAGAGAGAGAGAGAGAGAGAGAGAGAGAAGAGAAAAGAGAAAAGAGAAAGAGAGAGAGAGAACGAGGCAGAGATGGTCATGCCAATGAGCCTGCCTCCCCACTGCCATCTTCATCATCATCATCCTCATCCTCATCTTTTTTCTTTCTTGTCTTGCGGGCTGGCGCCTCGCTGCTGGAGCTCTTTTTTTTCTTCCGGCTTGGCCTTTTTTGGGGCATGTTTCCGGAATCCTCCTCTTCATCAAGCTCATCTTCGAACTCCTCTGGTTCCTCTTCACCCTGTTCCTGTCCGCCGTCACCACTGTTGCTTTCCTTCGTCTCAAAACGAGGCAGGCGCTTGATGCCTTTGGTCTCCTCCTTCTTAGCTTTGCTTCCTGCGCCACCTTCGGCACCCTTTGCCAAGGCGCTCAGGTCCTGGAGCTCATCCTCGTAGTCAGCCGCTTTGAACGTCGGCACATTGAAAGATGGTGAGCTGTCCGTGCTCTGAGAATCCACCTTGATTGTTCAGGACTTCCTACATGTAGTGCATCCAACCTAGATAGGTTCTAATGTGTTTCCCAGAGCAGCCTAGGCACATGGTGAACTTTCGCCATGGGCGGCCCCAGCAACCCACAGCAAAACTAGCTTCACTGAAAGCCCCAAAATCCTGTGACATCTGAGATGGTCATGCAGCTACTGTTCTGATTGCAGGACCGGCTGCACTTCACATCCACTGCTGCTGCCCTTCACTGCCGGCACACGACTGCTGCTGGCTACGTGGCACCTGGCCCTCACTCATAAGCGAAGTCGTTCAGAGCTTTTGCATCAGAGGACCAGCTTTGAAGGATGGTCAGGGGTTAGCAGACTGCGACAGTGCATTGTCGTCTGTGCGCACCATGGCCTAAAATGAGAAATCGCACGGCAAGCCCAGCTGCCCCGGCCCAAACAGATAATATCTCCTATCTACTTGTGTAAGCATCGCCTCTCAAGAACATCTCAGTCTTAGGGTTTAAAAGACACAGTGAGAGGACAGGAGAAGGACCTAGTCATTGTCTCGTCTGTTGTTTGCAGTTTGGACAGAACAACTAGGCCCAGAACTATAAGAGCGCCCTATGTCAGGTGACCGGCACTCTTCCATCAAAAGCAGTGACTCCAACACCTTCTAAGGTGATCCATCAGGTGTCTGCGCTGCTGCTGGTGGCAACACATATGCTTGGCAGCCTTATTCAGTCATGCAGGGGAATGTGGGATGTAGCTCTTATTCTCAGCAGAGAGGGAGAAGGCCTAGCACAGGATGCCACACAAGCTACTTGCTGTTGAAGCTGTTCAAACTTATTCTGATTAGCACCAGACTTCATTCATGCACACAGACATGCACACACCTGACAGTTTCCCCGAGTCACAGACGACCCCGAGAGATTTCATCTCAGAAAAGTCGGAGCACACCCTGTGTGACTTGAACCTCTTGGCTGTGAAGGAGCACAGGCCTCACAGGTGAGAGAACTCGATGATGAGTGAGCCTGACGGAAGCAGCAAGAAGGTTTGGCAAGCACACACAGAATCAGAAGCAAAAGTTAGTCGGTGACTGCACAGTCGGAACTTGTCACCACTTGGAGGGCGGATGTAGACCGGCCTCATACGCCATGTCAGAAGGTATGGAGGGCGAAGAGCACGTATTTTGGCCGGATCCATGTATGAACCGAAAGTGATCGGGCGGGCCTCAAAGCCACATGACAGCAACAAGCACACACACACACACATGCTTGGCAAACCTCTGCACCGGAACAAAGCACCAAACTATACTGACAGGCCTTCGAAATCTTGCGCTTCTTGGCACCACTTTTCAATGGATCCATGACGAAAACAATCTTCTCGTCACACTTCAATTCGTCACTGTCCTTCGTCCTCGTGTGGCCCATGATGGTCAGCAGCTCCCCAGCATCTTCCAGTGCCACAATGAAATCTTTGAGCCTCGTGACCTGAACAGACTCACATAGGAGGTTTATGTCTACACTCGAGATTCAATATAATGGAGCAACGAAGAACGAAGCAACTGTGACTTGAAGACACATCAAGAATCAACTTTTTTTCGAATGCACATGAGGAATCAACTGTGACTTGGTTGCACGCATGCAATGTTGACTTAGTGGCTATATTGACTGCATGCCAGTGACCCTGTTCCAAACCGCCAAGTTCTTTACATCCTCCGGCAACTTTCGCACTCCACGATGATCATCGCATCCTTCACGTTGCCGGCCAGGCTGTACCGGAACCACCGCCCACTTGGGTCGGAAAGCACATCGTTGGCTGTGGCACCATCGGCGAAATCTCCGGACCCGAATCCAAAGAATTCCGTATTCGATGCAATGTTTGCAATCCTGTCGCTGTTGATCCAGAGGCTCGATTCATCCAGATCATACAGCATTGAGAAATCTGGCATGACA